TACCAAGCAAAGTTTCTGATTCGACTCGCGGACATATCTCCACTCGTTTTTGATCGGGCGTCATACCCGGTATAATGACTGTCATTTTACGAGGGCCTTTAAAACCTAAAACATTTGTATCATACACCACCGCGGCTAATTCTTGCCGTGGATTGAAACGCTCGTCACGTTTATCGTCCTTCATCAACGAGTATCCGTTGTCGTAAATTGTGAATTGTGTCCCCAGAAGATTCGATCGGAGTTTACCGACATAAGATTCTCCTCCTCTCGAGAGATCTGTGGGATCGGTTGAAATCAAGTAATTGCTCGTTGCGCTTTTTTTCCTTTTTCGGCCAGCCAGTAGGAAAATCTGTAAATGCAATCGACATACTTATAGAAGACGAACTGTGAAAATTAACGAATGCAAATGTACCTTTTTCCCGTAATCACGCTCTAGATGCAAGAAATAAGTCGGATAAAGACCACGGTCCATGCCTTTTCGATCGCGTGTTATTCGACACTTGTAATGCATTTTTTTATTTGCGGGTTGTAATACAAACTGTTCAATGTTACCTTCTACATTCCCTTCCAATTCTGGACTCTATGAAATAACAGCAAGGCAGTAATTATTTTTTAATATTCGTAAATCACAAATAAAATATTTATAAAAAAATATGTAATTAGAATATATATGACACTCACGGAAGAATTGTTATCTCTATTAATAAGAGTGTTAGCTCCTTCTGACGGAGCCACTCGAAGTGGTGAAGAACATGGCAGAGATTCCGAAGGGGAATGTAAATCTATAGGTGACGATTCCTCATCGGCACAATCAGTGCTTTGGGAACCTTCATATAAGCTTCTATCATTAACCACTGCTACAAAAAGTATCAATACTTAAATATTAGCGTGTAATTAATTTTAAACAAATAAAATTATATATAAAATTGAAATAAGAAAATAATATCTCGAATTATTTTTGTATTAGTAATATGATATTCATAAAATGGTGGAAAACATCTACTATTTTTCTAATAATACATATGTGTATATATTAAATTATATACAGATATATACAGATATATATTTTACTTTTAAAAATAACGAATTTACCATTAATTGTCCCTTCACTGTTTTTTCTTACATCTTCTGTATAAGGTCCCATGTCAGTATTTGTTTGAAACATAGCATATTGCAATGGGCCATCATATGCTGCAAATATATTAAAATATCTAAGCACTCTTATGATGTTATGAACAAAATGTTATACAAATCACATATACAATATCATATATTATAAATATTATATATCTAAATAAGTAAGCATGAAATATTATAAATCTATAATAATTATGCTCTATTATAATTCTATTAATTATTGGAAAATTATTCTATTTGAACACTACCATGAAGTTCCTTGTTTGGATTCATCCATTTATTCGAATGACTTGTAAGCTGTGCGCTAGATACATTGGATGCTTGTACCATTCCACTAGCACCAGTTTGTCTTTTTTGCTTCATCTTCTGCGCGATCAGTTGCCTCTACATCGATTAACAATGTAAATAAATTATGATAAAGTATCATTTATTAATTCAAAACTATAGATAAAGAATTACTAACTTAATTAAAAAAATATTTGTCGAAATAATCAATTAAAGTTAGTAACTCATGATTTACAATAAAATAATGCTAAAGGACCTAGCGGAATAAGTACGGTAAAAATGCTCCCACGGCTTTTAGAGTTGACCTTTTTTTTTAAGATTACTCATATAAAAAGACGCTTATCAAATATCAAATTTTAAAGATCTGATCAAGTTAGAGCGAAAAAACGATTTTTTACAAATATACGAATTTAATAAAAATTTAATAAATTCAAATAAAATTCTGAAAAATTGGTAACTCCAAAACACTAATAAGGATTTAAAAAAAATTTTTTTCAATGCGAATTTCGATTCTGAAAAAATAAAAATAACATTTAAACATTTTTTCATCCAGATTCCGTTAATTGACCACCTTAAAAAAATTTCATGTGAATTTCTGTTCAACTTTCTACAAAATATATTTTTTTTAGATTCTTTTCAAAAGGTGATCCACATTGAGAAAAATTACATTATATTTTTTCGTTAATTTTATGAAAAAATGAGCAACATAAACCGTTTTCTTTATCAGTAATCTAATATTTTATTTCTGTATAAAATTCTTTCTCTCTCCATATTAAAATATTTTGATGATCACAAATTGAAAGTGACATCCTCATTTTTCAATCATTGGGTTAAAAGGCAGTTATTTTTATTTAATTAATTACAAATTACATTTATACGTTAGACTATTGTTTTTAAAAAATAAAGGGGGTGGGGGTATTTTAACTAGATCAACTTGCTTCACACCGCCGGTAAAGGGTTCTGTGAAACACGAAACGTTCGATTTTACATTTAATGTTAAAGTGAATTTATTTTGAATAAATTAGAATTTTTGCTCGCTCACAATTATTGGCCTTTTATAAATTATTATAATTACATTTATATTTTGACAGTTATCATATATTATACTAATATATCATATATTGTTATATTTAGTCCTCATCGCTATCGTAATTAATTATTGGATAAACTTCTTCTGCCACAAATATATTTGTAAGAATTTCGGCAGGCTTTATTATTTTCGATAAATATCGAGCAAAATATAAATGTAATTATAATAATTATATATAATTAAAGACCAATAATTATAAATGAGCAAAAATTCTAATTTATTCAAAATAAATTCACTTTAACATTAAATGTAAAACTGATCTCTCTTTATTGGAGCATTTTTACTGTACTTATTCCACTAGGTCCCTTTAATCAAACTTGAAGTTCATTAAATATTTGTCATATATTTTAGATAAGCCACCTATCACTCCATAGAGTGGTATAGAACCTAATTATTGTAATTTTTCGTATAAAGAAGAATAAATACTGATGATCAGCTCTGAAGGATTTAATGTTACATAATATTTCTGTGCTAGTATAATCTTTATTAATACTATGACCTTGCTCCTATAAATAGGAAAAAATTCGACCTAAAGCTGCCTATTATTAGCTAATAAATGTCATGTTACAAGCTCAAGCATTCATTAATTATTCATCCAAATAGTGAGAGATATAGATTGAATTTCAGTGTTTTGGCTGCTTGCGGGTTTAATACAATCATCAGAGACCAATTTCTTTAGGATTTCTCATATCTTTTAAGAATATTGCAAGTGACAACTCTTCAAGTAAAATAAGTAGTCACACAGTACGAGAAGCACGAGGTTATGTGCTCCAAAGTTTACTATGATAAATTAAAAGTCTCGGTCCATCTATTACGGTCAAGATCGCACCTGTTGTTCCAGCTTCTGCTGTCGCAAGTCGAGTGATGTCATTTTGCACGAAATCAGTTTATCAGATGATGATCGACAAAGATGCGCAGCCACCAACCGCTGACAAACCAGCTTTGTTTACGCCAAACACACTCGCTCACCTACGGTACCTAGGCAACCGTTCGCCCCGAGCTCTTTGCCTCCTTCATAGCTTTCACGACTTTAATACGGGGTCTACAATAGAAGTCGTAGGGTCTTAAGTCGTAAAAAATTGACCAATCACAGTCGAATATGAGAAGAATAATCAACTGTGATTGGTCAATTTTCTACGACTTAATGCGAGGTCTACAATAGAAGTCGTAGCGGTCGTAGGGTCTTAAGTCGTAGAAAATTGACCAATCACAGTTGATTATTCTTCTCATATTCGACTGTGATTGGTCAATTTTCTACGATTTAAGACACTACAACCGCTACGACTTCTATTGTAGACCCCGTTATGGCGGACTCGCAAAGTCGCAAAGCTGAAGAATGGCGCCCGATTAAAAAGGATCCCAGATACACGCAAGGAAATACAACCGACTCCTCCGATTTTAGTTTTGGATATGTTGGTCATATACAGAAATAAGAGACATATTTTTTTTTTATACGTATTGAGTTGCACGTCGAAACTATGAGAGATAGAACGAAATGTTATAAATAAAAATTGAATTGGTTTCAAGAGTATTTCAAGAGTACTTTATAATAATCATTACAAAGAAATTTATTTTAATGAAAAATTTGTTTAATTATAATTATAAAATATTCTTAAAACCATTTAACTTTTATATTTAAAATATTTTTTTCTATCTCATAGTTTCGACGATATTTCACTCTGAAAAAAAAAATTCGATTTTTTTCAAAGATTTCCATCCTTTTAATATGTGACTCGGCATGTATAAAAAAAACATCTTATTTTCGTCGGCTGATGTGTTAATTGAACTGGGATGGCACCCGATTGGACACGAGCCACTCATAGCGCTTGAAACTAAAAAACCCCTAAATATCCGACCGCTGTGATTGGTGGTGTCCAATCGAGACGTGGTCAATCGAGATTAATCGAAATCCGTCCACAAATACACGATGTGTAAGGTCGGAATCAGACTACGCATTGAAGATTGAGATTGAAGATTAAAGATTAAAATTTGACCAGTGAGGACAAAGGAATTTTAGCTCCTATTGTTTTGATTGGTCAAATTTCAATCTTTCAATCTTCGATCTCAATATTCAATGCGTAGTCTGATTCCAGTCTAAGGCCCTGCGCACAATGGAGGAAATATTACGAACAGGAATAGATATTAAGATTTCAACCTATCAGAAACCGTGTATTCCGGTGTAACTGGTATCTGATAGGTTAAAATCTTAATATCTATTCCAGAGGATCGATTCTGTATCTTGAAACGAGGTGAAAATTACAAAAGTGAGCAAATTTACTAGAATACTGATAATTTTATTGGTCAACACCTAGTAAATTTGCTCATTTTTGTCATTTTCACCTTGTTTGAAGATACAGAATCGACCCCCTGTTCCTAATATTTCTATTGTGCGCAGGGCCTAACTGCGCCACTCCCAAAAAAGAACAAACCTTATGAGTGACCAATCACAGCTGTCCAAAATAGCATCCTCCAGTCTAGTGGCTCCAGCTAGCTCTCGAGAATCTCTACATCTTTAGATTCTCGAAAGTTTGTTAACCGGTTTGGCGTCCGTCTCCCTCGTGGTAGGTTTGTTATTGTTATTTGAAAAACCAAGTGTTTAATTCTCCGAACTTTGTTGATTAATATAAAAAATAAAGTTTTAGCTTGAAGGTTTCTGTATTTTTACGTAAAATATGGATGACGAGGATGAAACATATAAATTGTGGCGCATCAGAAAAACTGTGATGCAGCTATGCCACGATAGAGGTTATCTTGTCACGCAGGACGAGCTGGATCAGACGTTAGATTCGTTCAAGGAACAGTTTGGAGACAAGCCTAGCGAGAAAAGACCGGCTAGAAGTGATCTTATTGTTCTTGTGGCGCATAACGACGATCCTACGGATCAGTTGTTCGTCTTCTTCCCCGATGAACCGAAAATCGGCATCAAAACCATTAAGACGTATTGCCAGCGCATGCAAGAAGAGAAGATCCACAGGTTGTTTTTCATATTACAATATTTTATATAACGTATTTTATATAATTAGTATATTTTATATAATTGAAATGTTGATTCTTACATAAAATTGATTAAGATTCACCTTATTCTTCACTCGCGCACAATTTTTACCTTTGCGACATTGATTAAAGCCTTATGTCCACTATGTTAGAAATTGCTCCAAGATTTCAAATAGAGAAAGAATAAACAAATCATGTTTGAACAATTTGGTCACATAACCAATGTGTTTGGTCAATTCTTTCTTCATCCAAGATCTCGGATTGATTTTTATTATTATGGATACAAGGTTAAAACCGAGGCATGAAAATTAAGATCACATTTGGGACTTGCTAACTACCAGTCAACTATTCTCAAATAGAAAATCATCCATAACAATTCACTTATATTTCATTTTTATATAATTTAGCAGTATATCTTCACAAAAAGAGTATTATAATTCAACATAAATAATTATTGCTGTTAATATTATACAAATTTTAAATTTTATTTCAATATTATTAGATGCTAAATAATTTATACTATTTCATTTTATTCTTAATATTTTGAGAGATTATAAGGTGCCATTATTAATTATTACAGAGCAATAATTGTTGTCCAACAAGGCATGACGCCGTCGGCCAAGCAATCGCTGATAGATATGGCACCGAAATATATACTGGAACAGTTTCTGGAATCTGAATTACTGATAAACATTACCGAACACGAATTGGTACCAGAGCACATTGTCTTAACTCCGGACGAAAAAGAAGAACTATTGACAAGATATAAGTTAAAGGAAAATCAACTGATGCGAATACAAGCTGGCGATCCAGTAGCACGATATTTTGGTTTGAAACGTGGACAAGTTGTTAAAATAATCAGACCATCAGAAACCGCAGGAAGATACATATCCTATAGGTTGGTTTGTTGAGGAGGAAAAGGAAGAGAAAATAGGACCAAGACTAAATCGCGAAAATCTCTCACAGACTAAAAAGAGATATTTATTAAAAGGTAAAAAAAATGCAGCTCGAAATTTGACATTTATTGTAGCAGCATTTTATAATGGTGCACCGTTTTGCATCTAGCATTATAATAACTGCAATTATACATTATTATGCTATGTAAGAAATAATCTGTCGCATTGAATGTTAAACATTGTACAGTTAGCAGCAATGAATAATTACAGTTCTCACACGCGAATATATGTCTCTAAAATGTGTTCTTCCCTTTCCAATATTTTAATGCACTATTGGCAATTACATGCGTAAAATGTGTATTTCATTTGCATTGTTCATTAGCTCACACTTATGATCAATATTAGGATATAGTTTAAGTTTTATTACAGAAACAACGATCGGTACAAAAAAGACTGCGACTTGCAACAGTCGCTCGCGATTATCTGGCTTGGGTAGACATTGTTTCGAGTTATTACTATTATTATTATTATTATTATACATTGCTTGGTCCAAAAGTATCATTCTATATACGGTATATTCTGACGTAAAAGTATATCAGTAGCAGAATTTCCTTTCTTTCAGTATATAGTGATTTAATTATTCCATCAATTAATAAGTGACAGTCGAGTGATTCATCCATTAATAACACATACACATTTTTTCGAGTCTAATTGCATTTATTCGTAGAATACTTTTTTTAATGACTTCTCTTATTATGATATACTGTTTTCTCCTCTTATCCGTTTTTTCTTGCTTATTAATAAGATTCAATTTGCGCGTGAATTGAATCAGAAGCGTAATTAGCAGTCTATTAACGCAATTAAATAATCGTATACTTCTTAATCGAAGAAATATGATATTGCAATCTGAAACATGCTTAAACTCTGATAACTTAAAGGATAACTTTTGAAAAAGCCTTCCCCGAATTCAAATCCTACTACATAGTCCCTATTAAATCTTATTCAAATCTAATATTTAATCTTAGCATTTTGATCCTACTTATAGACGGGAGTCGAATATCGTTTATTAAAGCCGGCGGAATGACATCGATTGTGAGATGCGAATTTCCGCTTTCAGAATTTATCGCGGTCGACTGATAAAGCTAAAAGCGTACGAGCAGGAAGTTTCCCAGATGGCATATTCGCTAGCGTATAATGAACAGGCAGACCAACCAATCATTCGTTCTATACTTGTTACAATAAATGAAATTACATGCTATATAAGCGGCAGCAGTCGGCTAGCATAAAGACAGCTTGCTACTAGTATAGCACGTTACTTCGTGATCCAAAGGAATAATCGTTATCGTTGGGCACAAGTAAACAAAGCACACGCGGCCATAATTAATATAATATATTGTTATCAATAAAATGTAACATAACATTAATAGTCATAATAATAATAACCATAAAAGATAATAATAATAATTACAGAATAATGCTACGAAGTTCTGTACTTTACGCAATAAGTAAAGAAAAAGTATAGAGTTCTCAAAAAGGTTTACAAAAAAAAGGAAAACAAAAATATACATATTCGGTTATCCTCGAACGCGATTCCCATTGCAGGCGGAGACCGCGCGAGAGACCCTTAGATCCTTGGGGATATCCATTGATACTTAGATAACTCTTAGACAAAGGATCATTGTAAATTGTTAGAATTCTATAAATGCTTGAATCTTTAGATCCTTAGGCATCTTTTAGGCATTTTTTCATCCCTAGATGTTCGTAAAAGCATGAATTCTTGAATCCCCGGATAACATCAGAGATCTTCGGATCCTCGGATATTGTCAAACATCTTTAAATACTCAAATCGTCCTTAAATTCTAGATGTTGTTATATCCTCGTGCTTAGATGTTTCGATGTGATATCGATGATGATTTTCTCTTTCTCTTTCTTTTTCATCGATTAAATAAACGCGACGTTTATTCTTCGGTCATTCAAGGATTTTGGTGTTAGGGTATATTCGATTCATTTTTAGTCGTGTTTACTTAGAAGACTTTTCGGCGTGACCACCAGTATACTTTAGTGGCCCATTCGATAGGTGAGGTTTGTAAAATATTGTTTATCAAATCCGCGGCAACTCGGATCCTGTAAGTGATAGAGGTGGGATAAGGCGGCCACTGTTCCCAATAACGGCCTCTGTGCGTTCGGCCATATGAGGCCTGAAAAATTATATAAGAGTTATATATTAATCATTTTAAATAAAAGGTGTGTATACATGATCAAAAAAATATCAACAATGGAGAAAGAGGAAATACAAAAAATTAAAGCTATATTTTTTTATTATACAATAATGTTATATATACTTTTAGTATCCTCAATCTTTCTTCATATCTCATTTATAATGGCGTACATAATTTTTTTACATAATCGTAAGAAATTATTAGTCAATAAGATGAAATTCGTATTAAAATTTATAAATAAGAAAAAATAGATATATATAAATAAAAATAAATTGCAAGAACAAATTTCTTACCTAGGAGTGGTATGGCGTGACATAGGTGGACGGAAAGAGTCCCCGTCTATTTCCAATTTCTCCATGCCACCAATGCTGATCTGTACGATCTGTGACAGTAATTACATCTCCTCGTCGGAACTCCAACTCGCCAGGCTCTTGCGGTGCAAAATCGTAGAGTGCTTGCACCAAACACTGAAAGCCATGACAAATTAGTTTTAGATTAAATTATGCAATCAAAATACACATATGTAGATATAAATAAAAAAGAATATACACTTTTATCAAAACTTATACGTTCGAATCTTATACAAATTATATGTGCCACTATACTGAACAATTATAATATTAATTTTTACCTCCTCGGGGACCATGTCACGCAGCTTAACGTCCTGCGAGCGAGAAACAGACGCTGTACGATGATATTCCACCAGTTCGTTGAGGCTGTTAAATTTGACGACCCATAAAAAGAACTTGCCTTGTGCGTCTCTTAATACTTTGAAATGCTGCACACCGTCAGAGCATCTATATATATAAATTATAGTTACTTCATTTTATATCTTGTTAATAATTAATAACAGTATTAAAAAACAATTATTTCTAATTTGTAAAGTCCATTAATAGGGAATGAATTTCATACATACAATTGAAATTTCTATTAAAACTTATACTGAATATTTCTCATTTTTTACAAAAATGTTAATAACTATAATTAAATGCATATTATTTATCTAATATAATACTCACTTTACGGATAAGGAAAAATCGCCAGGAGAGCTTTCACTGATTCTGATCAGAAAGGCACCTTCATGTTTGTTCATCAATAATCTTTCAGCGTCTGCTCTGGTTCCCCTGCCATAATACCAGCTGTAGCAGATAAGACACAGAAAATAATTTGTGTACAAGATTATACATGAGTATATTTTTATGAAAACAAGGAAACAGAAAATAGTTTTACATGAGATATTATATGCCTTACTGGACAATAATTGTTAAGTTTCTCTGTCTCTAATACATAAACATATACAATAATAACGTACTCATGGCTCTTCATCTCAATGTAATTACTCGGTATAAGTCCTTCTCTAGAATCCAATTCAGCTCTATACCAATTCATATCATCTTCCATATTTAGAATCTGTAAAAAAAATCTTATATATAAGAAATAATTTTTAATTTAGATTGATAAAAATACATATAACATTTTAATATTAACTGCACATTTTAATATTTTTATATTAACATTTTAGAATTATAAATAAAGAAAATAGAAACTACATAATTCTATCTAAATGGAAAGAGGAAAAAGTTAACTATCTCTTATACAATTGATAATATTATAATTCTATAAAATTATATATCATATTTTCTAATTTAAAAAATTGAATGTTTTATTAATAATTGCTCATAAATTCCTCTAAAAAATAAAAATCACAATTTGATAAATAATTTCAACTTTCAAGGACTCCTAGATATATATATATATATACACATATATACAGTGAGTACAAAAAGTATTTGCATAAAGAAATTTTTTTATAAAAAAAAAAGTCTTATTTGTAGAAAATGAACATTAATTAGCAATTTTATACAATACAATCTGTTCTAATATAAACAAACGAGCTTCGCATGTATTCCTAATTTTAAAAGCTAAATTTCTGTACGAATACTTTTAAGCATTCAAACAAAACAATTTTTAATTTTCGCTTATTTTAAAGATATATTTTCTATAATTAATATACATCTTTTTGGTATATATAATTTTGAGAAATATACACTCTATTTTATTCTTTATAAATAAATTGTTAATTCGACAAGAAATGACTGTCAATTATACATCAAATCGACGTCGAATTTGTGTCGAAATCGTCGTACCGACATCGATCAATTTGATGAATCATTTCTCAATGAATGTTTACTTTTTAAAAATAAGGTTTTTTTTTAAATTACTTTCTTTGCGAATATTTTTTGCACTCATTGTATATTTAAACTTCCAAAGATATTACAATTTATGTCATTTAAAGATTTTATTGTCAAAATCATTTAATGCTATTGTTACATTGAAAAATAATATCTACAATGCATAACAAATTATTTGTAATTTTAGACTGGAATTTGCAAAAAAGATATTTTCATTGTTTCTTATAATTAGTAATAATTAGAGCTTTTAAATTTTACTATAGGGAATTATTATTAAATTATTAGTTATTAAAAAATTATTATAAAATAATTTTAGGGAGCGCGCGCGCGCGAAATTAAAAATAATTTTCAACAAATATTAAAAAAAAAAAAAATGAAATTACAATGAATCTGATACATGTAATCCTCTCACTTTCCCTCCTTTTTTCATTTTTTAATCTTTGAAGCACAAATCTATATATGCTCAAATATAAGCATTTGTACACAGAAGAATGTGTCGAAACACAGCTAAAAAGAGCATGTTCACTAACAGCGTTATTACTTTAATCTTTACAGCAATCACTGTCGTTATTATTCCAAACAATAACAATCGTTATTGCCTCAAGCAATCTTCATGTCACATACACGAC